TCTTCTTCTTCTTCTTCTTCTTCTTCTTCTTCTTCTTCTTCTTCTAGAAAAGCTGAGATAGAACAATACTGACCCCTAAGGGAATGAAGTACTAATTATGTGACTTTAGGTTTAATGGAGAGACAGTAATTCTTGGTCAGCAAGGTCTTCCTGTACATTATTGATCGCCAGATTTGCAACTGGAAGGAACTTTAAGTACCATCTAGTCCAAGGCCCTAATTCAACAGATGAGGTAGTTGAGCCCCAAGGTGGTTAAGTGACTGGCCCAAAGTCCCATATGTAATATATTACATCTCTTCTGAAAAAGGGAAGGGAAGGGAAAGGAAGGGAAGGGAAGAATGTGCAAAGAAAGAATGTAGTACCCTCCATCTGAGAGCAGATAATTAACTCTTTGGCATAGTATCAACTGGAAGGAGAGACAAGAACAGACAAAAGTAGAGACAGACAGGCAGAAACAACAAGATGTGACCCAGGTAGGAAGGCAGAGAAAGAGGCAGAGAGGCATGAGGAGAGAAGAGGGGGAGACAAAGAAAGGCAGATGGCGCCCTCGCTGTGGGACAGGGGGAATGTGCTTATGGAATCCTAGAGCTCCAACCTCACCTTCAATCTCCTTTCAACTCTGCAACCTTTTCCCACATCCCCTACGGATCCACTTCTTCATTTCTCTCACCCTGCTACAAATACATGGCCCTAAGGAGTCTTCACATTTCACCTAGCTCTCATCCTACCATTATTCCTCTCTGCCTAGCTCTTAAATGGCCTGTTGTTTGCAGATGACTTTTGAGAGTGTGAAAGTATTTTTTTTTCTCTGCACGTGCCCAGTCTCCACCTTGGACAGAAGTGTGCAGGTAAATGTTTAACCATTGTCTTTCTGAGAAAAAAAAGGTACCTGTGACACACCCTTAAGTTTAATCTGCATTATTATTACATTCTGAAGTCTAGAAATGGAAACAATAAATCGAGCCCTGATTTGTAGTGCTTACAGATTTCCAGTGTGAGTAAATGCTTGCACTGAAAATTTAACAACGGTTGGAGCAGGTACACCTCTGCCCTGAGACCGGGGGCTCCCTCAAAGCAGGACGGTGTCTCCCTATCTTAAAAACAGAACTGTGTCTCCCCACTTGTAACAGGGGCCCTCTTAAAGGTGGGGACTATGCCTTCTTTCTCAGATATGGGGTTTTCTCAAAGCAATGAGTGCCTTATCTCCAAACCTCAGACCAGGAACTCCTTGAGGGTAGAGCCTACATACACGGATGCTCATATAATACACACACACACACACACACACACACACACACACACACACACACAACTTCCTGAGGACAGGGGCAGGGGCTATGCCTTCCCCTCAGATTAGAGGCTTTCATTGGATCATAGATTTAGAAATAGAAGGAAAATTAGAGGTCATCATCTTCCACATTTGGAAACTGAGGCTTAGAAGGGTTAAGTAATTCACCTGAAGTCATACAAACCATCAACGGCTGAGGCAGGATTTGAACCCTAGGCCTCTGTATGCAGCAGCACTCCTTCTACCATGCTTCAGTTGCCACCTCAAACCCTCTTTGTTCTGTTGATTAGTGAAATGCTGCATAGAGCAGGATTGAGCTTTCTGGACCTTGCCCAAAGAGCCCATTATTAGCTGGCAGAGTTAGGAGAAGAAGTGTTGACTCAGTCCTTCCTCCTGAGCCAGACGGTTTCCCCTCCCCCAGCCCCCTACTCAAGGCTTAGTGGCAAGAGCATTGAATTTGAGACGAATTGCACCTCTAAATGCTATGATCTCCCTTCCATCCCTTAGCCCATATTTCTAAGGTTCCTTCTCCCCCTTCCAGGCCTCACCCGTAATTCTTCTTTTTTCTCTCAACATGGTGAGGTGCCTGGGGGAGGGGGAGCTAAAGGCCACTCAGCCGAGGAAGATGAATGACCTGGAGTCATAGGGAAGTCTGCTTTCTGGTTGGATGAGGTCACTAACCCCCAGGGGAAGGGGAGAGCTGGCACTTTCATCTGAGAACAGAGTGTGAGCCCTTTGGAATGGACTTCTGGGCCTACTACTGAAAAAGGAGAAAAAGGCCCAGACACAGAAAAAAAAGTCCATCAGCAAGCCTTTATTAAGCATGCTTCTTATGTGCTAAGTGTTGGAAGGAAAGAACAAGACCCTGCGTGCAAGAACTCATATTCAAATGAGAGAGAAAACATCCAACCATGTATATACATACATACCTACATGTATATACATACATACATACATGCACACATATACGTGCATATATGTATGTGTGTGTATACACACACACACACACATATAGTATAAATGAGAGGCAATCTGGGGGAGTTGGGGTAGGGGCAGAGCTGGGAAAGGCCTACTGCAGAAGGTAGAATTTGAAGGAAAACAGGGAGGGATATACTTCTTCCAAGGAGACTTGGGGGAGGGGAGGAATGAGTGCAATTCTAACATCTCCTGGGAGGCTTCAGAAGCCAGAGGCCCCACCTCCATTTCTCTTGCCTCCCAGCAGCCCCCATTGCCGTGCCCAGCCTCCTTCTGGTCTCTGTAGCCTCTGAAAGGCCTTTATCAGACTCCAGAGTACTACCAGAGAGTGGGAAGGGCCTCTAGTTCGTGCTAAGGGTCCTCCCTATCCATCCTTCACCCAAAGATCTATTCCCCACACCCTTTCCAAGTCACTGAAAAAGAAAAGTCTCTGTTTCTCCCTGTCTCCATCTCACAAAATCGGATTCTCAGTTAATGGGAACTTCAGAGGGTATCTATCCAAACTGTATCTGAAAAAGCGATCTCCTGTACAACATAGGGAATGAATGGGCATCCAAATAGAGGTGAGTGATGGAGAGGGAGGGCATATAGCAGGAATGAAGGGGCCCCCTACTCTAGCCTTCCTGCCCCAGAGACCCCCAGTATGAGGAAAAGGATAAGAAGACTGGAGAAAGAAAATGAGACTGGAAAAAAGACGCAGATGAGAGAAATCTATTTAGGAAGAGAGAAAAGAGAGGGGACAGAAACAGATAGGTATTTAGCTTGAAGAAAAGGTGACTTAGGGAGGACAAAGGAAAGATGGATTTATTTTGCTTCTGAAGGATCCCAAGGATGCTAGAACTGTACCTTTTCCCCACCCCCACAGAATACCCTTGACAGGGTCGTGTAGAGAAAAGTGTCCAGGAGACCTGGATTCTATTCCCAGCTTTGCCACTGACTCTGTTTCCTCTTCTGTTAAAATAAGTATATTAATTCTCCCTGAATCTTTCACAGGCTTGTTGTGAGAGTCACTTGGCGAAAGATTCTAATAGACTGGTCCAAGGCTGTTCTCCCTACCTATAGCTCCAAGGCCCTGTTTTTTGTTCCCATACCACTGCTATTACGCCTGCTTCTCTCACCCCCATCCTTAACTCAAACTGAGGTTTAAATGACTAAGTATATCTGAGAGTGAGAATTTTATCCAAGAGGTATGCATTTTAATAAAAATCCAAGCCTTCAGCTTGTCTATGGTTCTTGGCCGTCTCAGATCCCGCCAGCTCTATATTTCTAAAGCTCAGCTCTTATCATATACTTCCTGGGCTCAGAAACCTTCCTTGGCTTATAGAACAAAGTCCAAATTCCTCATCCCAACATTCAAGACACTCTGCAATCCACTCCCAAACTTGCTCTCTACCCTATGATCTTATAATATTGCTAAATCCTTGAGTCCTCAAACAGGTTGTCACACACATGCCTGCTAGCAAACTGAGGCCTGAACAAGCGTTATATATTGTAAACATGTCTCTGTTAAATACTATTATCACACTATCCTTGGTGGGACCACACACAGGTTCCTACCTTATTATTATATGTTTTGTCTCTCATCCAGGTGACTACTATAGCACAGTATGTTTGGACCCACACAGGTGCCCTCAACAGAAATAGAGAAGTTTAGGGAAAGAGTTTGAGGAGGGAAAGGTAATAAGTTCTGTTTTGAACATCTTGACTTTCAATTTTTCTACTTATAAAATGAAAGGGATGCAAAAAGTCAAGTCATCCTATAAGACTCCAAGGCTGTGACTCAGCTGCCTTCTCCCTCTGCTCCCAATGTCCCCTTTTCCCATTGGTGAGTTCTTTCCAGAACCTCCATTTTGAGAAAAGGCCCATCCTTCATTCCCTGGACTTCCTTACTATGGCCCATTTGGGTACCTTCCTACTTTACCCCCCTTTCCACTCTTCTCCCTTTTATAGGGTGCCTTTCCCCACTAGAATATAAGCTGCTTGAGGTCAGGGAGGGAGTTTCATTTTGCTTGTATTTGTATTAGCATAGTACTTGGCACATAGTAAGTGCTTAATAAATGCTTGTTGGTTTGACAGAACAACCAGATAAATGCAAGACGTCAAGTTCAAGATATACAAGAATTAGTTGAATTGGGTGTTAAGCCTGGAGAAGACTTGGGGAGGACATTTTAACTGGCTTCCATGGCATCTGAAGTACACTCCTATGGAATGGGGATTAATTAGATTCCTTTAGTTTGTCCCCAGAGGAAAGAACGAGGGAGTAATGGAGGGGAAAGTTGAAGAAAGGTTAATTTCAGCTTGATATAGAAGGAAACTTCCTAACAACTAGAGCTATCCAAAAGTACAATTGACTTCTTTGGGAGGAAGAGAGTTCCCTGGGTAAGCCAAAGAGCTGGATAATCTCTCATCAGGTATATTGTAGAGGGGACTGTCAGTTATGACTTGGACTAGACCGCCTGAGGAGCCTTCCAGCTCTGTGATCCCACGCCTCTGAGACACAGTCTTTAGATGCTAGGATCCCAAGATTCTAATGTTATGTTTCTATGATTTTCGATTCTCTATGTTGATGACCCTCTAATCACTCCCAGTGACTTGAGTGTAAGATTTTATTATTCTATATCATCTTCATCATCTCTTTTCCCCCAATGTTTTCCTTTTACTCTTCTTCTTCATCATCATCTGTTTCATCATCTTCATCACTTTCATCCTCTTCATCATCATCTGTTTCATCTTCATCATTTTCACCATCATCACTTTCATCTTTGTCATCATCATTCTCATCACTTCCTTCTGAAAAGTAAGTGAAATTTATGAAACAAAAATGTTCTACTTTGAGCCTGGGCAGGGGGATTGACCCCATCATAGAAGGGATACTCAGGGATCAATTTTCCTATGCTAAGTGGAGTCTCAAAGACAGAGGGCTTGTCCAAGCTCACGTAAACAGCAAAGATGGATTAGAAATAGGACTTGACTCCTAGGCTCCAAGTACAGGGCTCTTTCCACCAGACCACACTGCCTCGAAAGCAGTCGTTCTCCAACCACCTGACATAAATAATCCAAGGATCTGACTCCAGATGCCCAGGATTCCCTGATATCTGTATCGGATCACTGACCATGGGCGAGATTTAATTTACTAAGAAGGTCAACTTTCATGAAATAAAAAGGAAGAAACCTAGGTGAGAAAGACCCAGGCTCCCTACATTGGTAGTTTCAGAAGTGGGATTTGAATCCAGGTCTTCCTGACTCCCAGTTCAGCACTCTGTCTGCTATATCATATTATCTCTCTTCTGGTTTGTAACCTATAAACACAAGAGGAATTTTTTTTTTGAGCAGCAGCATGAAGGAGTAAGGGACACTAGGTGGCGCCATAGTGCACAGATATTATGAGTTATTGGTGGCACCAGGCCTGGTATCAGGAAGAGCTGAGTTCAAATTTGACCTTAAACACTTACTAGCTGCTGTGTGATCCTGGGCAAGTCATTTAAACCCTGTTTGCCTCAGTTTCCTCGTTTGTAAAATGAGCTGGAGAAGGAAATGGCAAACCACTCCAGTATCTTTGCCAAGGAAAACCTCACTAAAAAAAGAGTCAGACATGACTGAACAACTAGTAGTAATAATAAATGAGTAAACAGAGCACTAAACTTGGAGAGAGAAGATATGGGTTCAGTCCCAACTATGACACTTACTACTACTACTATTACTTTACTAAGCCTATAATGTCCCCATCTGTAAAATGGGACTAATAATTCACTAGCTCCATTGAATCTCACAGTCTCAGGGCTGGAAAGGACCTCCCCAACCTACACCATAATATGCCCCAGCAAATGGTCATTCACACTCTACTGAGTCAGGTGGTGCCATAAATAGAACATTGGACCTAGAGTTAGGAAAGGCTGAGTTTAAATCTGGCCTTAGACACTTACTAGCTGTGTGACTCTCTGCCTTAGTTTGTCCATCTGTAAAATAGGGTATAATAATTGCACCTTCCTCCCAGGGTGGTTGTGAGGATAAAATAAGATAAGCAAAGTGCTTTATAAACCTTAAAGTGCTATTGTTATTATTTTAACCACTTCAGTTCCTCACTGGAGCTCTTAGGAGAAAAATGCTTTGTAAACTACAAAACACTACAAAATTATCCACTACAACAATAACTCATAATGTTATTGTCCAGTCATTTCAGTCATGTCTAACTCTTCATGACCCCATTTGGGGTTTTCTTGGCAAAGATACTGAAGTAGTTTACCATTTCCTTCTTCTAGCTCATTTTACAGATGAGGAAAATGAGGCAAACACAGGTTATGTCAAGGATGAACTCCCTCACCCCTCCCATCCCCTTTTATACAAGGATATTGAGGCTTAAAGGGTTTAAACCTTGGAGTATACCCACCAGTCACCTAAAATCTACAGAGTTGGCTTGACACAGCATACCCAATTCAGGGAACCGTTAGAGGGTTCCCTGGGCCATTAGGGAGCTGTACAAACTGAAAGAAATCTCCCAGCTAGACCCAAGTTTTTCACACTAACCCCTCAGAAAATAGCTAGCATTGGCTAGCTGTGTCAGTCAGCTTTGGAGAGCTCTCCAACACTGGTGATCTGATGCCTACTGCCCTCCCTGCTTACTGGGAAAGTTTACAATAGAGAGAAACCCTGTGAAATGCCCGTGCAGCTGATGTCATTTTTGTTCAGAGCTTTGCCTATGACCTTATACTACCTCTACAGTGTGCATGTAGCATTCCTTTCTCAAGACCGTTAAAGGAGTCTCTGTGTCTCTATCTAGGTCAGAACTTTATCCAGAAAGAGATCTGGTTGGTTCTTGTGTTCCCAGAAAAGCAGGAACCCTTGGAAGAGGAAGGGGAGATGCTTTTGGTCTGTGTCTAAGCCTGGGGGAGGATGAGGACTAGCTTGTCAGGCTAGGATCTTGTCTGATGGTGTGACTGTAAGGCTTCCCTATCACCATTGTCAAAGGATGGCACCCTTGGAAGAAAACAGGTGGCCCCTTTCCACGGAGCCATCATGGTGAAAGGCAACAGGAGAGCATCAGTCCCAGGCCTAACTCACCCTGTTGGATTTTCTTAATAAGCATGTTGGCCACATCTTGTTGGTGAATGGCTTTTAGAACTTTCAAGGTAACTTCCAGAGCATACTTTTCTCCATAATACTTGACCAGCATTTGAGCAAGATCATTGCAGTGGGCAGGTTCCAATTTCCCCCAAGGAATGAGCTTATGACATTTCTTTAGTGCAATGCGGTATAGTTTCCTCTTAAACTTCCTCAGCTCATGTTCTACAAGCTCATCGAGAGAACTGGTCAGATGCTGGTCCATAGCCACTGGTATATGCACAAGACCTAGAAGAGGAAGAAAGAGGTGACCTGGCAAATATAAAAGAGGAGGAAGCAAAGTACTGACACAATAACAACCATAACAATAGTGATGATGATGATGATAACAGCTACACCTTCCATAATATTTTAGGGTCTAGAAAACACTTATCTCCATCCAAACATCACTGTGAAGTAAGTAACAGGCAAGAATGACCTCTTGGCCCCCTTTTATGTAATGGAAAACTAAGGTTTAAAGGGGAGTGGTTCATCCAATACCATACAGTAAGTTAATGCCAAAACAAGGATTAGAACTCAGCTCTCCTGATTCTTGTATGTGAGCGAGGTAGGATGGTGTAATGAAAAGGGCCCTGGAGTTGAAGTCAAAGAAACAAGGATGAAATCCTGACTGGGTGATGTTGAACAAGTCACTTGACCTCCTCTTAAACCTTCTGCTGCCTCCTCCTCTATAAATTGGATTTGACCTCGATGATCTCCAAGACCCATTTACAGCAATAAGGCCTTTAGACTATGACTTCAAGGCCAGAATTCTTTACAGCATGAGGCTGGTTGTCTGGTTTTCTGGTTCTTCCTGTACTGAAGGACAAAGCCATTGACACAGTCCATCTCCCTAGTACAGCTTATAGCTAGCTAGCATTTGTATATAGCACTTTAAGGTTTGCAAACACTTTACATATGTTAATTCATTTGATCCCCAAAATGGCACTGTAGTACACAGATAGTGTGAGTTATTGGACCCTGTGAAGTAGGTGCTGTTATTTGTACCCATTTTACAGATAAGAAACCTAAGACAAGAAGAGGTTTAGGTGATTTTGCCCAGGATCACACTGCAAAGTAAGCATCTCAGGCGGATCTTTCTGACTCCAGGCCTAAGCATTCCATCCACTGTGCCACCTAGTTTCCTTGGAAAGGACACTCAATTTGGAGTCAGGAGACCTGGGTATTCAATCCAGGATCTGATATTTACTTCCCCAGAGCTTCCGTTTCTTCATTTGTAAAATGGCAGGGTCAGACTGGATGCTTCCTCAGTCCCTTCTAGCTCTAAAATCATATTCCTAACATCCTTCACATAGTCCATTGTATACCTCCATTTCCAGGGAGTGACTGGAATACAGCTAGGTCCTGATCAATGCAAATGATGAATCATCTGAAGTAATTAGTTGCATGTATTCAAATTCACACTATTTGAAGTTACAATTATGTAAAATATGGTCACCCAATGAGCACAAGATAAAGGGAAATGGGAATAAGAATTTATTAAGTGCCTACTATGTGCCAGAAACTATACTAATGCTTTACAAATATCATCTCATTTTTATCCCTACAAGAACCTTGTGAAGTAGGTGTTATTATTATCCCCATTTTGGAGTTGAGGAAACTGAGGCAGATAAGCAGTTAAGTGACTTGTCCAGAGTCACACAGCTTAATAAGTGTCTGAGACTAGATTTGAACTCAGGTCTTCAGAGCTTTGTCCGCTGTGCCACCTTGCTGTCCCTAGATAAAAGAAAGGAATAAAGCAGATTTTGTATAGGGAATAAGGGGAGACAGGGTGAGGACATCAGAGGGGTAGGAAGATGGATGTGGACCATGGATCAGAAAAGCTACTTGGCAGGTAACAGGAAGGGAGTATGAACTGCCTGCGAAGTCTACGAATTTGAATTATAGGGACTTCAAATGGGTTTGCCAGCTAAGGACAGTCGATTTTCATACCCTTTCCACTAGAAATGACAACTAAATCCCAAGAGTTATCTGTACAAAGTTTATGTAGACCCATAGAACGTAAGCTCCCTGAGGGCAAGCATTATTTCGTTTCTGTCTTTGTATGCCCAGCACCCAGCACAATGCCTTCCTAGAATATGCCAGGGGCTTCATAAGTGCTCGCATAATTAAACCAAATTGAATTTAGAGTAAGAGTTTAGACAGGTCCTAGCAGTCTGAGTGTGCTTGTGGTTACTGTCTCTGCTACACCTAAGTTCCTTCTTCCCAGTCTTGTCCCAGGTGACTTGGTGAAGAGTCATTTAGACCGATGTCCTCATTTTACAAGTGAGGAAACTGAGGCCCAAAGAGAAGTGGCTTGTCCAAGGCTACATAGGTAGTAGAGAGCGGAGCTGCCGGTAATACAGATAATACAGAGCGGCCTGTATCTAGGAATATGTTAGAGGCAGCCTTAGTCCAATCAGTCAGTGAACAAGGTCTTATTAAGCCCCTACTATGTGCTGGGCACCATGCCAAGCACTGAGCGTAGGAAGAAAGACGAAAGTATGATCCTTGCTTTCAATGGGGGATAGAACATGTTCATAGCTATGTAAATGGAAAGTAATCTCAGAGGGAGGACATTATCAGTGCTGGGGGTATGAGACACACAAGAAAACGCTCCTCCAGAAGGATGGCTTTGAGCTAAGTCTTGGAAGAAGCCAGAAGGGAGAGGTGAAAAGAGCAGCCCAGATGTGGGGACAATGAGTGCAAAGCAGTGGAGTTGGGAGATGGGAGTGTCCTGCACAAGGAACAAAGCCAGCATCGATGATTCCACAGAGAAAGATGAGGCATTCTTATCAATCGTCCTGAGCAAGACAGGCAGTCGGGAAGGCAGGCCTGAAGGCAGGAGGACTGGGGCAGCAAGGACAGATGATAAAGGTCTGTGTCCAGGTCCTGCTCTTGATCCAGGCCTGACAGTGGGACCTGAGGATGAATGGAAGAGGTTGAGTGTTGCAGCCCTAAGGGCCTAAAGAAGACTGATGGGTCTTTGATTTACTTACCCTCCAATCACCCTCCAGTGTTGGTTGGGAGAGCATCAAAGAGGATAGTGGGGAGGGGGAGGTTGGCTCAGGGATAATAACTGAACCTCCGGGGAGCTGATGAGGTCACTGAGAGGGGGGGTAAACAAAGAAGGAGGGCCAGGCAGAGCTGAGGTCACAGGCCAGCCGCTCCCAGCCTTCATGGGCTGCCAGTCAGCAGGGGCTGGGCCAGCTGGAGTGTTCACGACATCATAAGTCTTAACCGGGCCCAGTGCTACTTTGACTTGGAAAGTTATGGCTACTTCCCCACCCAGAAACAACAACCCCAGGACTGAGGTCATGATAATAAAAAGATGCTCTCATCTCCTCTTCCTGGGATATGACAAGACGAAGCTTAAGGACTCCTGATCACATCACTCCCCGGCTAAACAAACTCCTATTACCTCCAGGATCAAACATAAATCCTTTGGTTTTCAAAGCCAACCTGGCCTCTTTCTGCCTTTCAAGTCTTCACACACTTTGCATTCCTCTCATTGGACTTTCTGATCCAGTGACAATCTTGCTAATCTCTCCCATGGGACAATCAATCTCTTGACTTTGTGCCTCTTCACTGGTTGTCCCCCGTTCCTAGAAGTCTCTCTTCCCCTCCACCTCCTGGCCTTCTGCAGAAAGGCCTTTCCTGGTCTTCCCAATCCCCCACCCATTCCCTTTGAGACTGCCTTCCATTTATACTGCAGATTTTACATCTACACTCATGTGCATGTTGCCTCTTCAGTTAGAATTTGAAACCCTTGAGAGCAGGGACCATGTCTTTTGCTTTCCCAGAGCTTAGCATAAAGGCCGGCACATAGTAGGCACTTAATATTAATTGAATGACTCAAACACCAACTTGGTGGTTAGTGCCAGCAACATCATCTTGGTTTCACATACTGCATCTGTGTTTTGTCTACCCAACACTCCACCCCACCACTACCACGCAAGCCACAGCAAGGAGGTCAGCGAGGGCATAGAATGAGCTGTCATCCACCATGGATTTGGAGACCGAAGCCCTGGCTGTGTCATGAGCCTCTTAAGTCCAAATAGAAATGGGGAGCCTGGAGAAATGACAATCTCATTGTTCCAGAGATTGATAAGCCAAGAGCTCTAGACTTAGAGTCAGTTTAAATGGAATATAGATAGCATAAAAGGAAATGATACTAAAATCAGACTGGACAGGTAGATGGGGACCACACTGTGGATAATTTTAAACGGCCAGATGAGAAGTTCATTTTTGTTCTGGGGCATTAAAGACTTTTTAGTAGGAGTGGCATAGTCAAATCTGTTTTATGGATGTCAAAGTGCCATCTGTGGTGAGGAAAATATCCTAAGAGAATTCCAGAAAGTTGTTTTATGCTGGCCCAGGGGTAGGGAACCTGTGGCCTGGAGGCCCCTTAATAAAGGATTTGTTCTGTAAAACTTTGACTTGGTCAAAAGGCCAAGCTCAAGGATCTAGAAGGCCACGTGTAGCCTCAAGGCTGCAGGTTCCCCACCCCTATACAAATGGTCCCTGTGGTGTGGTTGCCGTGGGGAGCAAGGCTGATACCAGATGAGGACAGCGGGTGGGCAGTGTTCGTGGTATTCAGCCAGCCCTCTGTGAGGTAAGAGCTAGGAGAGAAAAGTAACAAAGGCCTTCTTCCATTTTCACAGTACAATAAGCCAACACCAGGAACCCATCAGACAGGTTTGCAAACTGAAAAAAAAAAGTGGGAGACAGTCTCAGCAAATGAGCAAAGATTCATGTGAGATCTGAGAGAAGCCTAGTGAAGGACAAGGTCTAAGCTTCAGGACACAAGATTTCAGCACCAGGAGGCAAATAAGTTGTCACATTACACAAAATCTGGCATTCCTTTTGTTGCTGGATCGTGTCACATCTGAGCATCCATAGGAGGTCGGTGGCCTAGTGGATAGCATATTGGACTTGGAGTCAAGAATCCTTCCCCAGACTCTCATTAGCAGCTGTATGACCTTGGGCAAAAACAACTTTTCAGTCTCAATTTCCTTATCTGTAAAATGGGGATCATAATAGTGCCTACCTAAATATAAAGTGCTAGGCAAATCTTAAAGTTCTATATAAATGCCAGCTATCAACATCATCATCATCATCCTCATCATCATCATCATTATTACTCATCCAAGTATTAAACTCAGCTCTGTACTGGTGAATCCCTTTCTTCCATTTCACCTGAACCCCAGCAGCTGGAGCATTCCTTGTACCACTTCTGCTTTCATTAATATGCATAGAATTCAGCAGGTGGGGGACAGGTTAGGAAGTATTCAGAGAATAAGATTTCCCAGTTGATCTATAAATTGTTTGCATTAATTGCTACTTTGAAAAGAAGACCTGGACTCAGAGAACTTCAAAGATTCGTTAAATTACTTCATTTAACAATGAAGAGGCTGAATGATTAACAAGATAGGAAATATTTCTTTCGGATTTTGTATAAAAAGTTAGCTAACCGATTTCTATATGAGCCTACTAATTTGACTTGAATCAGAAGATAAGGAAGCTCCCAAAGAATTGGCCCTGCCTCTACCTTCATACAGAACCTTGAGTAAATCAGCATCTTTTCTGGGCTTCACTTTCCTTATCTATAAAAACAGGCGATAAGACTAGCTGGAAGGTCCCTTCCAATACTAACACACTGTGTTCTTTGGTTGCTTCTCGTCCTAATAGTATGTTCTGTGACTCTTTCCAGCACTGACATTCTACGTTCTAGATTGCACGCCAGTTATGATATTCTACGTTCCAGGTCCCTTCCAGCTCTAATACTCTTTGCCTCAAATGTCTCCCTCCTCCAGTCCATCCTCCATACTGCTGCCAAAGTAATTTGGTTTTGTATTAGCTATTGCTCGCCTTCCCACACTCTGTGGTCCAACCAAAATGACTTTCTCTTTGTTCCCCACATTGCTGTTGTTTTTGTTGTTCAGTTGTGTCCAACTCTCTGTGACTCAATTTGGAGTTTTCTTCACTGAAGTAATAGAGTGGTGTACCATTTCCTTCTCCTGCTCATTTTACAGATGAGGAAACTGAGGCAAACAGGGTTAAGTGACTTGCCCAGGGTCACACAGCCAGATTTGACCTCAGGTGTTCCTGTCTGCAGTCCCAGAGCTCTATCCATTGCACCACCCAGCTGCTGTCCCTCACATAACAGCACTCCATCTCTCATCTCTGTGCCTCTGGAATGCATAGAATCCGTATCCCTGGAATGCATGGAATTCTTTCCTCTTTCTAATGGAGCTTCCTTTAAGATGCATCTCAAGCACCATCTTCTCCATGAAGATTTTTCTGTGTCCCCCCCCCATTGCTAGTGCCCTCCTTCCTAGACTACTTTATATTGCTGTACTTTGTACACAATCGTATTTGTTGGCTTTATATTTTTTTCTGTATTTAGGTACTTGTCCCATTAGAATCAGTTCATTTGGAGTGGAGATTGCTTCCGGTGCCTGGTACACAGTAGATGCTTAATAAAAATTTGTTAGTCAACTGACTTTATAGCTAGCTGCAATTCCGGCTTTCTGTACGCTAGGGCGCCTTCCAGCTCAGACGGTCTGTGTTCCAGAGATTACCAGAGATGAATCTGTAAACAATTGCCACCTAGTGGTGAAGGAAGGTAGTACTGAACTTTGCACCAAAAGCACTAGAGATGTGCTGCGCCAAAATTTCTGGATACATTTGCCCCTCTTAAGAGATGGAGCTGACACGTTATGCAATGACTAAGAATGTTAAACTGAACCCTTCTCAGCATCACGAGGATCTAAGACATCTCCAGAGGCCTCGGGATGGAAAATGCTGTTCACATCCAAAGAAAGAACTATGGAAGTCGATTCGCCCTCATTTATTTCTACCTTCAGTTGAGTTTTGTTTCATCTTTCTGATGGTTCCTCCTATTAGTTTTAATTTTTACGTACAACTTCACTAATGTGAAAATATGTTTAATGGGTATGTAAATGTAAAGCCTATGTCAGGTTGTGTGCCGTCTTGGGGAGGGTGGGGGGGGAGAAAAAGGGAGAAAAAAATTTTCAACTCAAAAGCATATGGGAAAAAAAATTTTTAAAAAATTTTAAAAAATTTTAAAAAAGAGATGGAGCTGAATAATGAGCATGATTACTGAAGTGCAAAGACAAAGGCATTTCATTAAGTGCATTAACCCTATCACAGGGCAAACAGGACTCTGTCTCAGGTACCAACGTGGGAGAAGAGGGAGGGGCAGGAAGTTACTTCCTTCAGCCACTGACATGCCCTCATCTCACTGTTTCCCGAAGGCATGAAGTCATTCTGAAGCAGATCACCTTCTTCATGCACAGCTATGGACTGTCCTCTGTGCTGTTGCTGCTGGCCTCTCTTCACACACACACACACACACACACACACACACACACACACACACACACACAATTTGCCCACGTATGGCTCCATTCAAGTGACAACAACAGCACATCTCAAAGGACATTTAGTGGGAGGGTCAGGAACTTCACACCAGACTATCTCAGGCTGTCCTGTGAAAAAAGCTTTGAGGGTGCCGGTTGTCAGAGTCTGGGAAGTGGAGAGAGATGTCGGGGAAGACAGCAGACTGTCAGGAACAGAGGGATCGTGGACAAGACAGAGATATAAATGCAGGATTGCCTCTGCCTATTCCGAGGCCCTCTCTTCTGATTGACAAGTACCTGGCCTGGAGCAGTATTGTTTCACTTGCCTCCCATACTTTGTCCTTCATTCTCAAAGAGGACCATGACATCAACGCAGGACTCAAATGAAGAACATGAGAAGACCCCCAAACCACCTCTTCATGGAGGTAACAGGTCCATAGGTGTTCTGCATTGAACATGTTTTGTATTTTTTTCAACATATCCCTCATTTGCAGTGACTTTTTTCTCTTTAAAAAGTTCAAATCCCTACTCTGCTACTTAGTGTATGACCTTAGGTAAGTTATTTGAACTCTCTAGGTCTCAAGGAATTTAGTCTGAGACGACCTCTAAGCTCCCTTCAAACTCTAAATCTATGGTCCTTTGACCTGTACCACTTGGTCACCAAGGGCTGCCTCTTTGTGATGGCCCTCACTCTGACTT